GAACAGTACTTCGTCAGTGGCCGCCAGCTAGCATTCTCCGCTTTCACCGAAACTCCCAGCCTCTACACGATCCAATCTTATGTCTTGATCTCAATGTATATGCTTGGCGCGTGTCGTCGGAATGGTGCGTTCATGAACCTGGGAATCGCCTTACGGGCCGCCTATGCCGTCGGAATTCATCGAAGGGACGCGAATGCCCTATTCTGCACCCGGGAGCGTCGGGCCCGGCAGCGGGTTTGGAAAAGCTTACGGATGATGGACCTGTTCCTTAGCGCTTCCTTAGGGCGCCCTCCGGCGACCTCGGATTTTGATTCTGATATAGGTGATCAGGCAACAATTGCAGGGGAGCAACAACGATCCCAACCTGAAGCGCAGTTATCCCTATGCGTGGTTGCATTATGCCGTATCTTTGATCGCATCCTAACGGAAGTCTATATGAGACAAGTCGTCTCGATCAATGTTGCGGAAACGATCTCAAATCAGCACCGGGCTTGGGTCCGGAACCTGCCAACCTTTCTCAGTGTCCAGACGGAGCGTTTAAGTTCAAAAAATCTTGAAAGTATGCTGGCCGCGGCGCATGTATTCGGCGCATATTACTGGTCAATCATCCTGTTAACTCGGCCGTTCTTCGTATTTCGGGTGTCGCAATACGTGAGAAGTAAGACTGATCCGGCTATCAGCTCCAACGATCCGAGAGCCAGCGCCTCTCGCGTCGCTCTTTTCTCTGACGCATGTGTCTACTCTGCTCTACGCTGTCTCAACATTGCGGACGATCTGTCTCGGTTTGAAGCTCTACCTCGGAGACTACCTTTTCTGATCAATTCAGTATTCAACTCGGCCGTCGTGTTGGGAGCGGCGTTCTTTGCCGAGTATGACAATCTTCTCCCGCTCGAGGAAGGTATGGACAAGTCCGAAAAGTTTCTGGGGCTATTTGTACCACATGATCCGCACGCCTGTCGTTTTTACCAGATCATCAAATACCTGCGAGGCGCGGTGGCCGAATATGTTCGCCGTCGAAACCGTCAATGGATGGAACGCCGGAGCAAACAGGTCGACCAGCTGTTTGGCCAAGTAGGGCTTACAAGAGAACCATCAGCCTCCAACGACAACGTGGCTATAAGCCGCAGTGGCGATCAGTCAGCCCCGTCCCCCTTATCTCCCGAGAAGCTCGCTACAGGCTCGCTTTCTACGCAAGGGCCAGAACAAACAGCTTCCACAGGTCAATCGGAGAATGACATTTGGAATACCCTGTGTGGTCCTCAAGGAGCGGCTACGCTGCCGTACGATAATACTATATCTACTCTGACAACAACGGGAATACCCATTGGTTGTTCACCGGGAGGAACCCTCACAACCGCTCAGCCGGGAATGGGAACAGATGGCGGAGGGCAAACACCCTTGTCCGATGTACTATTCTCGGAGAACGGCCTTCTCTACATGGCAGAAGATCTCTCCGTTTTTGGCCTCTGGGGAGAGACTTGATGATACGCTGCACTTGGCCAGTCAATGCGAAGGCATCAAACCCCAGACCTTCGGACTTGACCTGCTATACGCTCTCCTACTGATGACTTGTCCATTTCTCATGACTCTGTATGATACGAACATAGCTTGCGCATGCGTCACTTTACCTCGTGGTCCTCGTATATCTTTCTCTTATTTCTCACTATACATGGGAGGATATCTATCTAGTCTGAGAAATACCCTGGTTGCATTGTTTTTTGGCGTCTGGATGGAGTACGGTTGGCTATGTCTCCAATCATCCCCAAAGCATTAGGCATCTATCTCTATGCTTTCAAATCGCAATTGTTGGTTACTGCAGGTGGTAGTGAATCGTACGATTGTAGTAATGAAGTATCAAATACCTGGAGATTGGTATCACTCCAAGATAGTCAAAAAGTATCTTACCCTCTGGTGGAAATCAAGTATCGATTCCATTGTATTCGTTCCTTTTCCTTCCTTCGTTTCCTTGAAGTGTTCGGTTCATTGGTGGATGACCTAAGATATCGTTATCCACGTGTCGATAAGGACACAATGCGGATCTCCGCCGATGATAGCAGATCATGATGTTGTTTACAGCTGTCATGTTTTGAAGCTACAGCTTCTAATGACATACGTCTGCATTCTGAGATTTGATTCCTATATGCTGTTATAATCATGAGAATGGATTGCCGCCTGTCATTCCATTGACCCTGACACCCCGCACAGAAGGCAATAACCCTGGGAATTCCCACCGGAGCTTCGCAGCGAGGACTTGTCTGTCATAACGATCCATTGGTATCTAGTTACTGCTATCGGTTTAAAACACGGAAGTCATGGTCCGACGTGTACGGACTCTCACGCCATTGCTGGTGCTGGCTTGTGCCGGTTCCGGCGCATGGGCCAGCAAGAAGGCGTTCAACATACAGGATGATCTTCTTGCGTATCCTCAAGTATGCCATACGTGTTTCGGTTTTTTGGCTTCTGCAGAAATTAAACGAGCAATTGTGCTAATGATATCTGCTTGTAGTTCCAAGTCTTCTTCCCTGATGATTATATTCTCGATACGCGGGCGAGGGAGTTATTACAGAAACAACAAGAGAGCTCTTCGTCTTACGCTGACAAGACATCCGCCGAAGGCAATGATGCGCAAGTATATCTGGGAGGTCGAAAAGGTAAATCCGAAGACGACAATAAAGAGGCGATAGAAGGACCTGGGTTCACATACGAGGAGATGCTCCTTGACGGACAGCGATATCTCTGTTCCATCCCGCAAGCCGACAGCGAAGATAAGAACCAGACGAACGGAGCTAATCGCGCCACTGAAGAGGATGAGCAGCGAGAAATTGCACGCGCGACGGATCGTGGCCTGGAGCTTCTGCGCGAGATGGAAGGCAAATGCATGTACTACATATCTGGATGGTGGTCATACTCATTCTGCTACAAGAAGCAAATCAAGCAGTTTCATGCACTACCGTCCGGCCCAGGCGTACCCAACTACCCGCCGATAGAAGACTCTGCAACTCATTCTTTTGTGCTCGGCAGGTTTCCGAATAGTGGCGACGACGAGGATCTGGAGGGGGATGCGGAGCACAAAAAGACAACTACTGATGTCGCCGAGCTCCAGACTAAAGGCGGGTCGCGGTACCTAGTGCAGCGACTGCGCGGTGGAACAAAGTGCGACTTGACAGGCAAAGACCGGAAGATCGAAGTTCAGTTCCACTGCCATCCGCAATCCACAGATCGGATCGGTTGGATCAAGGAGCTCACTACTTGCTCATATCTGATGGTGATCTACACCCCGCGCTTGTGCAACGATGTCGCATTTCTGCCACCTCAGCAGGACGAGGCGCACGCGATAGAATGCCGGGAAATTCTCTCCGAGGAAGAGGTTTCCGACTGGGAAGCAAGGCGGGAATATCATTTGGCTCAGCAGCTCGTCGAATCCGCAATTACATCCGAGTTTCCTGTTGTCGGGGATATCGAGGTCGGGGCGCAGAAATGGGTGGGATCAGAGGGCAAACAGATTGAGAAGGGTCGAGTAGCATCTGTTGGAGAAGAGAAGATCGAGGTTGTTGCCAAGCGCCAAAATGGAGAGGTAACCAGGTTGTCCAAGGAGGAGTTGAAGAAATATGGCCTTGACCCCGAGAAGATTGAGACACTGAAAAGCCGACTCGAGGAGCATGCCAAGGGCAAGGACTGGACACTAGAGATTGTCGAGTCGAACGGCGAGCGTGGCTTAGTCGGAACGATCGACCCCGACGACGATGAGAAAAAAGATCAGGCTGCACAGGGCTCTACATCGCACCCGGCACAGAAAGCTACTGCTGACAAGGCGGAATCAAATGCAAAGACAGCAGAGGAAAAGAAGAAGGCGGACGAGACAACAGACCATCAGGAGCCGGAAGAATCAGAGCCGACCACTAATGATGCCGAAGACGGCAGCGAGGAAATCTTCTTCAAGGATGAGCTCTAGCGGGTGGTTGATGTGTAATTCTGTCTTGATCTTGTACATTTCATTACTATTATCAAGCCTCATCTACGATCTGAAATACCACTTCCCATCAAGTTTTGAAATATTTTACTGAAGTCAGTTGAGGATAAAGGGGCCTCCGTGTAATTGGAGCGGCAACTGGCTAAAGACACTTTGGTGTAGAGAAAGGTAAGAAATGACGTAGGCAGGGTCCTCCGTGTCATCAAGGAAATAGGCACGAGGGAATTCATCCGTTTTGACGTGATCATCGCTCCTGGTTGACGCCAGGAACAGCTGCCCAAAAGCCTCAGCATGAAAGCGTCTAGCACAGCAGACTAGTACACTCGAGGTGGGACCATTTCCTCCACAATGTAGATAGGGCGAGGCGAGGTGACGGGTGAAATAACAGAGATATTCAGGTACATGGATTCTGTCTGGCTGTTGCAATCTTTTAAGAATTTACTTAGCATCAAACCGCAGAGTTAACTGTAATGTTAGAGATAATGAGGTACAGTAGTCCAGTCCCAAGCATCCGGGGGCCACAAACCAGGTACCAAGTATCCGTACTCCGTCCGGAGAACTGCTAACTACGTACCTTCACCCACTCTACTCACTACTAGCTTCTGGCTGACAACCTCCTCTCTCTTACTGAACCTCTCCCTCTCCGTTTCTACCCCCGTCAGCTCTATTTCTCTTAATTTTCTCCTCTATCACTTTCATTAATTTGCTTAATTGAAACGGTTGCCTTCCCCCAGATCTTCTTCATCGCATAATTAGCCCCTTTACCCTGATCTGGTCAGAACTCGGGAGAGGGGATACCCAACTGCCAAGGCTTCTGGTTCCCCCCCATCCATCGACCATCAACCGGACTTCGACTATCTAGACTACTCTTTCGAACTCGACAATCCCTACGGACGGCCGGCTCGCCCTGACTTCCGATATTAAATCTCGGCGTCACTTCCAGCTCGCGCCAAACCGTCGGAGCCGCTAGAAAATAACCATCCTGTCCTCATCGAGTTAGACGGCGCTCGCCCGGGGGCTTGAATCCAAAATGGGGTTCCTCGGGGTATACAAAGCGGTCTACGACTATCAGCCCCAAGGCGAAGGCGAACTAGAACTTCGCGAGGGTGATTTGCTTTACTTACTCGAGAAAAGCGTCGAAGACGATTGGTGGAAAGCGAAGAAGAAGGCCGAACGGGATGACGAGGATGAACCGGAGGGTCTTGTACCGAATAACTATGTCGAGGAGGTAAGCTACACTGTCGTGGGACGCTCCATGGCCAAAGGGTCTGGGACATCCAGCCTGTCTGAGAGTCTCGGGGCGCGCTCCGGATGTTTGGTTATGCCAGTCATGGCTCTACAACGTACACTTCTTGACGATGAGATGATGGATGTGCTAACGGGGCACTCATTCAATTCATAGGCCCCCGCGATCAGCCATGCAAAGGCATTGTACGACTATACGCGCCAGACCGACGAAGAAGTCTCATTCTCTGAGGATGCGGAACTCATGGTGTACGATATTTCCGATCCAGATTGGACATTAGTTGGTGTCAATGGGGATTTCGGCTTCGCCCCTGCAAACTACATTGAGATTCAGGAGGACGCTACTCCCGCCGCTGCCACTGCCCCGCCTTCTCTCCCTTCTCCTGCTCCTGTCGAGCCGTCCGCTCCGGCCCTTCCGCAACGCCCGGTCGAGGTACCGGCGGAGGAACCGGTCGCGCCCGCGTCTACTAGCTCCCCGATTGACACGATACAGAACCCAGCGGCAGCAGCAATAGCGAATATCATTCATCAACAACATGCATCACCCGTGGAATCCGAACCCTCCAGGGATATCCCGCCGCCGCAGCCCCAGCGACCCTCTTATCGACCAGAGGACAGTTATCAGAGGGAACCCTCGCCGCCGCCTCCAGTGTTACCGCAGCGGCCTCCATCGCAACAGCTCTCTCCTCCAGTGGAGCGGTACTCTCCGCCGGAATCCTCTCCTCCACGCCCACAGTATGCCGCGGTGAGGGAGCGGGATACCCAGGGCCATGTGAAAGAGTCTCCCCCATATAATCGAATCGGACAGTCAACGCCTCGTTCCCCTTCTGGCTATCATCTGTACAATATCAATGAAATGGTTGAAGTTATGGGTAAGAGGAAGAAGATGCCAACGACATTGGGAATCAACATCGCGACAGGAACGATTTTTATCTCACCAGAAGGGGACGGCGACATGCAAGAATGGACTGCGGATAGACTCACCCATTACTCTATTGAAGGCAAACATGTCTTCCTCGACCTGGTTCGCCCCAGCAAAAGTATCGATTTTCATGCTGGTGCCAAGGACACCGCTCGAGAGATTGTTTCCGCACTCGGTGAGATCTCTGGAGCCTACCGTGCCGAGGGCTTGAAGGAAGTCATTGCAGCAGGTGCAGGTGGCGGGGGCAAGAAGAAGGGTCAAATTCTGTATGATTTCATGGCGCAGGGAGATGACGAGGTTACTGTGGCTGCCGGCGATGAGGTCGTCGTTCTGGACGACACCAAATCTGAGGAATGGTGGATGGTGCGACGCATGAAGAATGGCAAAGAGGGTGTGGTACCAAGCAGCTACATCGAAATCACCGGCTTTGTTTCCAGTCAACCCACTGGCGTCGAGTCGGGCCTATCAACGGTAGAAAGGAATCGGCTCGAAGAGACGCGCCTGGCCAAGGAAGCGATGCGGAAATCGAGGACTGACTCGATAGATTCACGGACCTCTGAGGTAAGCTGCACTGTTAAACCACCCTACCAAACAACGGTGACTCTGGTAAGAGAGGATACTGAGAGTTTCGAGCAGCACAAAAAACGCGACAGCAAGAGCTCCAATAAGCCGAGTAAGTCCTTTCCACCCTTTTGCCTAACCCCCTAATAAATTGTAATCCCGTCTAAATGTGATTACAGAACCGGATCCCACCAAGACAAGGCAGTGGACAGATCGTACCAAGTCTTTCACGGTTGAAGCGCAATTTATCGGCTTGCAAGACGGGAAGATTCACCTCCATAAGACCAACGGAGTCAAGATTGCTGTCCCCATCCCCAAGATGTCTATTGAGGACCTCGAATACGTGGAAAAACTTACGGGCGTGTCTTTGGACGAAGACAAGCCTCTATCTGATATTCGCCGCCGAGCTCAAAAATCCGAGTCGAAATCCGAGGCCAGTCGCCCCGGTGCGTCAGTTGGGCCCGAGTACGATTGGTTTGATTTCTTCCTAAAAGCTGGAGTCGGACCTCATCAATGCGAGCGGTATGCTCAGAACTTTATCAAAGACTCCATGGATGAAGCGATTCTACCGGACATTACCTCTGAGACTCTGCGTACCCTTGGATTGAAGGAGGGTGATATTCTGCGGGTTATGCGGCATCTGGACAATATGTTCGGCAGAACTGGGTCCAAGTCCAAGCTGCGCAATGTCAGCTTCGGCGGAGAAGAGGTCATCAGCAATGGGGAGGCTGGCTCTCCCGGCGGTCTTTTCTCCGGCCCAGGAGGGGTTCTACGCAACAACACCCGCAAGGGCAGGCCGGCACCCACGGTCCTGGCCGGTGATGTGGTCGATCCGAAGGCCTTCGAGCAGAAGGAGGACGCACCCAAACCTCAGGAACGCACCGAAACACCACCCGCTCCTGCTGCAGTTGAGAAGCCAGTACAGCGTGGCTTCGATGACGATGCTTGGGAGGTGAAGCAACCTAAACAGGCCGCGTCTTCGGCGCCACCTCCCTCATCCCCACCTCCGGCCACAGCACCGCCCGCTACAACCCAAGCTCCAGTGCAAAAGCAACTTACTGGGGCAATGGCTGACCTATCTCTACTGCAAGCGCCTCTCCAGCCCACTCCTGCACAGCCGGCGCCCGCGCCTACTCCTCAGGCCTCTCAAGCTCCGTCAGCCCCCGCTGCTATCCAGCCACAGCCGACTGCAGTGCCTACGCCCCAGCTGCAGCCGCAACAGCCAGGTGCCACTCCTGGCTTTTTCAACCAAGTGGCACAAATAGCACAGCAGCCTATGCAAACCGGCGCCCAGACATTCAGCCCTCAACAGACAGGCTTTCAGCAGGCATCGAGGCAGCGCCCACAACCGCCTCAAAATATGGCTCAGAGCTCGCTTCTCCCGCCCCCTCCACAGAGGCCGCTTTCCGCACCACAGAATTTCCCCCAGCAGCCAAATACTTTTGGTCCTCCTCCATTGCAACCACAACTGACCGGTCTTCCTCAACCCGGCCCACAGATCGCCCCGCCTGGCCAGAGTCTGACCGACTTGAACCAGCAACGTTTTAATCCATCGCTCCAACCGCAGCCGACCGGTTTCATGCCGCCAAGTCAGTTTGCAGGTGGATTGGTGCCACAGCCCACTGGGTTCCAGCCACAGTCACAATTTGGCATGCAGCAGCTACAGCAACAGCAGACTGGCTTCCAGGGCCTTGCACCGCAGCCGACAGGCTTCGGAGGCTTTCAACCCCAGCCACAGCAGCCAATGCCGACAGGCATTAACTCGATACTTCCTCCGGCTCTTCAACCCCAACCTACTGGCATGAACGGTGCGAGCAGTATGCATTATGCTGTAGCCTCCCCGCCACCCATACCCCCTATTCCCCAACAGCCCACAGCCGCACCTTTGCAGCCACAGAAGACCGGCCCACCTCCTCCCGTACGGTTTGGGGTCAAGCATGATGCTCCTAAGAAGCTGACTCCCCAGCCAACAGGTTTGCGGGCTAATCTTGCACAAGCTAGTGAGTTCCCCATCGCTAAGATGTGCCAGCCTGTCACCATGTGTTCAAGGCCACTGACTGTTCTCTCCTTCTAGCGCCCACAAATCCATTCGGCTTCTAAAAGAGCGCGGTGTATATAATCTGATTTGTCCTGCGGCACATGATAATTTCTCTGCTATACATTATTTTCTACTATTTCTTGCCAGCGGGATTGAATGGCACCTTACGGATGATGTCTCTTGTTTCTGCTGAGCGTGATGCTGAGACGCATACAGCAACTGATTCATGGCATGTTATTCGATTCGACTCAAGCGAGCTCTGAAGCCCATGCTTTGGTACACTATTGCAGCCTCAGCGAGCTAGACTATTTCGTTTCCTCGTTTTCTTTCGTCTCACCCACTATTCAAGCCGCTTGGGGCCCTACGTAATCTTGGAAGTGAGATGTCCGTCTGTCTTTTTTTCGTTACCATTCTCCATGCACAAGGCCACAACTCTTCTTCTCCTGCACAGTCTGTTGTTGCGGCGATCGTGTTCAGTCTTGATGCTACTTGCCACATAATTTGGCTGGGATTTTGCCTCTCATATCTCTTTCTTTTCCCCCTTTGCGCTGATTCTCTTTTTTGTGACTTATCCTTCCACGGTCTCATGTGATTTCCTTTGTCGTTTTGCCAATCTCGATATGTACGGTACATAGCCTTGGTCTGAGAAATGAGATGTTCACAAATGTATAGTATATGCCCGTGTAAGGTATATGCAGCACCAGCATTCGGTTTCTTGAGTTTTTCTTGTCAATACACTCACTACAATCTAAATTAGAGAAGCAAAAATAGGCTCCTTCCCGAACGTGGTTCTGGACACAGAAAAAAAAGAAAACCTCCCCGACAGGGAGTCGAACCCTGGTCTCCCGCGCTCGTTCTCATTGGAGTGACAAGCGGAAATCATGACCGTTAGACCATCGAGGATTTATTGGTGGAAGTTGCAATTCGTAAGTATATGACCCCTTGGAGCGACAATGAATTAAGGCAAATCCTTCTAAAATGCTGACACAGAGCTGATAGAGATTGGGTGCCTGACGACTCAGGCTCCACTCCCCCATATAGTGGGGGCCCAGCGTCCCAGGATAGCCTAGCGCGTGCTGACGGGGATCTTGGTAATCATCTAATAATTACAGATATGCATCGTCACCCATGGGAATTGGTCGATTATCGATCACCTCTGGCAAGTCGATGAGAAATGAAACCCCACAGACCCAGATGGAATTGCTCTGATCGAGTGGATTGACTTTTTGACCCATGCTAATCAAGGATACGAAGTTATATAAACTAATAACTGACTAACGCTGACAGTGCTGTAGTATTTCTCAGTTAAAGCTTCTGTCCTGGCTCGAGGCTGTTCTACAGCTTTCCTAACCTTGTGCCCGTCGAGTATAAGTAGCTGCGGCTGTGATCGATGAAAGTCCTTGTATCACTTTTAGTTTGCATCGCAGCAGTCTTCCTGTCATATCAGTTCGCCTCTGATTCAGCTCACCTCGGAAATCTAAGCTCTTCTCTCAAAGAACAACTGTCAACCACCTTGTCGCAGTACCTGCGAAAGAACAACATCATCTCCTCCTCCTCCATTCCTCCCGTCACCCTACCTACCTATCCAATCGTTCCCCCCCTCACCGATATGGCCGTCCCCCGCGCAATCCGTCAGGTCTTCCTGGCCGTCGAGCAAGCCGAAGGCGCCGGCGCCCGCGTCCGCCGCTCCATCGGCACCGCCAAACTGCGCAACTTCAGTCCCTTCCTCATGCTGGACCACTTTACCGTCGGCCACGGCGCAGGTTTCCCGGACCACCCCCACCGCGGCCAGGAAACAATCACCTACCTGCTCTCCGGCGGCGTCGACCATGAAGATTTCGCCGGAAACAAAGGCACCATCGGCCCCGGCGACCTGCAGTTCATGACCGCCGGCCGCGGCATCATGCACGCCGAGATGCCCCGCGAGAACCCCGACGGCAGCCTCAACGTCGGCATGCAGCTGTGGGTTGACTTGCCCAAGGAGCTGAAGATGTGCGAGCCGCGGTACCGCGATCTCCGCGCGAACGAGATCCCCGTCGCGGAAGTCGACGACGGCCGCGTCACCGTCAAGGTCATCTCGGGCCAGTCGCATGGTGTCGATTCTGTGCGCGATCTGGCGTACACGCCTGTTTGGTTGTTGGACGTGACGATCCGGCCGGGCGGTCGCATCTCCCAGGCGCTGCCGAAGGGCTGGAATGCGTTTGCGTATACGTTTGCCGGAACGACGATCTTTGGCTCGAATGACGCCACGCGGGTCGCCAAGGAGTTCCATAATGTGGTCTTTGACCAGGCGGGTGATTATGTCGAGGCGTCGGTCCCGGATAATGCCGAGTCAGAGTCTCGCTTCATCCTCGTGGCGGGTCAGCCTCTGGATCAGAAGGTCGTGCAATATGGGCCTTTTGTTCTCACAAGCCAGGAGGAGGTCTACCAGGCCATGCTTGACTACCAGACCGCGTCGAATGGATTCGAGCGAGTCCGTGGGTGGGAGAGCGAGATCGGCAAAAGAATGGCCTACTAGGGTGAAATATAGCCTACCATATAGACTTGTGATGTATTTTTGGTGTTTTTTACTTGTGCTTATATGATACTCCAGGGATGGCGTTAGATTTTGTACGCTTTGAAGTACGACTTTTTGTCTCCTTATTTTGGTTGCTAGCTCGCATGATACCGTAATGGTAGACAGTAAATGAAGCTTATTGCTAACGGATATCAAAATACATATGTAGAAAGATGTAGACAGTATAGACTCGTAAGGACGGGAAAGAGAAGAGATTAAACGCCTGCACGTGGCTCGACTGCAAGAGTTATCTGAGACGAATGAGGAAAGGGCATCACTTGACATCATCATCCACCATTCACTTGTGACAGAAACTCCCGGGGAATTGGAATTGCTTCACTGAGTATCAGTGTTGAAGGAGAAGGAGAAGTGGAACCCCAAGAGGCACAAGGTCCTATCATACCCAACTGGACATCCTGACCGACTGCCAGGCAATGCGCCGCCTACTGGGGAAAGCTGATTATTTGGCGAAATGCAGGTCATAGCCCAGCCATTTCCGTGCATTGACACCCGCAACATCCAAGCCAGGGGTACCGTATGTCAGGGGTGCATAGAAGCAGAATCCCCAGATTGTCACACTCAGAATGATCAGGGTGGCGACCCACCCGGCAATCAGCGACTGGCGACCCATTCGTTCCTTCGCAGTGACGAAATGACCGGCGCTACCATGGGCCTTGGACTTGCCGGTTGGATCATCTTCCTTTACAGTTCTAGCAACCGCGATCGGCTGCAGGTTGAAAATGAATTCGATCAGAGCCCCCGCGACCATACAAGACGCGACGTGAGCCGGAAGGTAATGGTGGAGGAAACGCTGGCGACCCATCAGCCAGAAGGGGAAGTAGTGGGCAGCCCAGCAAAGGAACAAGAAGGCAGTGCTGTTGTAAAGACGAGAACGAGCGCCATGGCCCCAAACTAGAAGGCAAGATTAGATCGTAAGTCGTCGTGTGGACTGAGAATTCTTAGTACTTACTTTCTTCAAGAGCGTCGACTCCGCGGCGAAGGGACAGCTGATCAGCGCCGATGACCCCAGCAAAGACAGCCAACAGACTGCTGGCAATCCACCATCCGATGGGGTTACCCAGGAAGTAGATTTGCTCTCTGGTGTCATTCTTGGTCCAGAAGCTGACACCTCGGAGTAGGAAGGGCCACTGGAAGGGCTCACTGGCGTACGGATGGCTGCTGGTCAGGGCATTGTTATGGAAGAACATGGCTCGCTGCAGCTCAAGGTACTTGCGCCAGAAGGGAAGATGCTTGACCTGGCGCTCTTTCTTCACGGCACGGGGGCTCTCTTCCTCCAGCGACTCGATTGTGTCCACGAACCAAAGATTGCTCGTCTGAAGAACGTTTTTGTTACCATTAATCTCGGCTTGCTTGAAGGCCCACTCAGGAAGGGGGGTTGTATGGGTCCACATCGCGACGCGAGTGGGCACATGGATCAGCTTGAAATGACTTGAGAGAGTGCGGAATTCCTGCTCGGCTTTGCCGTTCTCGATCTTGATCTCGAACAGCGTATCGTTGTGTCGCTCACCATTGGCCAATTCCTGAGAAATGGTGGTGAACTCCTGGTTGGTAGGATAGTAAGGAGACGCAACATCGTGCGTCAGCAGGACGGTGTCAGTGCCAACGTGACGGAACTGGACGATGTCGCCATTCTTGACGCTGTGGCCCTGCCTGTCGGTGTCGGGATAGGGAACATTTGGCAGAATCTGCCAGTGGTTGTTCGTATCGTTGAATGGGTAGCCTGTGACCTGCTGGCCCTGGCTGGAAATACGGCCGTCATCATAGCGAAGGGGATACTTCTCCCAGTGGCTGTGAAGGAACACCTTGGTGTCCTTGTGTCTGATAGTGATTGTGTCATAGTACTCAATGCCGATCGACTGGGCCGACATGAGGTTGTCACTGAGGGTTTCCTGGAACTCGGGGGTCATGAAATCATCGCCTGGCCCGGAGCGGGTGAGGATTGCAAAATGGACCTGGAACCAGAACAGGTAGAAGAAGAAAGGAACAATGATGAGGGCAAATGCGCGGGCAGCAAAGTGCTTGCTCCAATGGGTCATGCTGAGAGCTCCCGACGGGCGGTTGATATCCAACAAGTTCCACAGGTCAACCAAGACCGCAGCACCAACGGTGACAAATGTGAAGACACCGACGTACTTCGTAGAGATGACACAGCTTAGACAAACGCCCGTCAAGAGCAGCCATTTCCACCATTTACGGCCAAAGGGTTCATGGCGCAGCTTGTAGAAGCGAACGTAGCACAGAATGCTCAGTGCCATGGAAAGCACCAACGAGGCATCCAGCAGAATCAGTCTGTCCTCTCCGACGTGGGCATTATCAAACAATACGAGACCGGCAGCCAACACACAGGCTGGCAGCGAATACCCGGATTCCCACATGATGAGGAAGACCACTGGGATGGTCAGAGCCCCCAGAGTGGCCGGCATTGCGCGCAGAGCGACATAGGGAACTTTGTTATCGATGTAGGAGTCGCCGATGTTGTCGAAC